GGAAGCCACAGGTGTGGGTTCAATTCCAGACCTGAAGGGCAGCTATGGGCTATAGTCTCAGTGGTTCTACCAGGCTCTATCAGACCAGCAAACCTGGTGCCCCCCTTTTTTTTTGTCCAAATGATTTTGACTTTTGTTCCACATTGTCCTCCCTCTCTATCCAGGATCTCCTACATAGATCCCCCTCCAAGTAGTTGACAGTGGTAGCTGGGCACCATCTATCTCTTCTGGTCTCATAGTTGTCTAGGCTGAGGATCACATGGTGTATCATTTGTGAGGACTAATTGTTTCCATAAATCTTTGGTTTTCCTCATTCTTCTTTGCTCTGGATGAGGAGAGACCCATTGTTGCATCTAGATGGCTGCTTGCAAGCTTTTAAGATCCCAGTCACTACTTGCCAAAGGAGGAGGTGGAACAATGTTTTGTGCAGTATGTTATGCCAATTGAGCTTGATGTCCCCTGCGAGTATGGTCCCAAGCCCACAAGTTCAATTACTCAGTCCCTCTGGGCAGCTGGCTGTGACCAAGAAGTGACTACAATCTTGTCCCTGGTCAGCTCTACTATACACCTGGGAATTCTTACAAATAAATCATACAAATACAATTATAGGACCATTGTCTGCCAACGCTATATATGGTCTTGGGTACACTCCCCACTTCATAGGCATACCTAATAGTTCAGCCTGTCCACCCATCCATCCACCCATATACTCATGTTTGCCTTCACTGACAACGCAGTACTGTATGTGCAAAGGGGTTCATCTTTGTTGTCTGTACCTCCCATGTACCTCTCTATGTCTTCCTCTTCCTTAATGCCACCATGATGATCACTCACATTTGGTACACTGCACTTCTCTTCACCGAAATCAATATTTATCTCTACCTATCTACAGTGTTCCCTACCCTCCCCTCCCACCCCTGGTAACCAACAAAGAAAATTTCCTTCCATAGATAAACTTTTTGTTGACTTTTACAAAACAGACTAATACAATATTTGCCCTTCTGTGATTGACTAATTTCACTCAGCATAATGTCCGCCAAGTTCATCCACGTTATGCAGTGTTTTTCAGATTCTACGTTATTCTTTAGGGTTGCATAGTATTCCGTTGTGTGTATGTACCATAGTTTGGTTATCCATTCCTCAGTTGATGGACACCTAGGTTGTTTCCACATTTTGGTTGTTGTAAATAGTGCTGCAATGAAAATGGGTGTGCATATGTCTGTTCTTGTCATGGCTCTCACTTCTTTAGGATATATACCTAGTAATGGAATGGCTGTGTCAAATGGTATTTCTAATTCCAACTTTTGAAGGAATCGCCATACTGCTTTCCACCATGGTTGTACCATTTTACAGTCTCACCAGCAGTGTATGGGCGTCCCAATCTCTCCTTGCCAGCATTTGTTATTTTTTGTCTTGTTGAACTTTGATACTAGTGCTGGAGCAAGATGGTATCTCATTGTTGTTTTGATTTGCATCTCTCTAATGGCTAATGATCGTGAGCATTTCTTCATATGTTTGTTGGCCGCTTGAATATCCTCTTTGGTGAAGTGTCTATTCATGTCTTCTGCCCATTTTTAAATTGGATTATTTGTCTTTTTTTATTGAGAGATTGGAGTTTTCTATAAATTCTAGAGATAAGTCCCTTGTCAGATATGTCATTGCCAAATATTTTTTCCCAATCTGTAGGTTCTCTTTTGACTCTTTTGGAGAAGTCTTTGGAAGCACATAAAAATTTAATTTTTAGAAGGTCCCAATCATCTGGTTTCTCTTCTGCTGTTTGTGCACTTTGAGTTTTATGCCTGATAGTCTATTTATTCCATATATTAGGGCCCTTAAATTTGCCCCTATATTTTCCTTGAGGAACTGTATAGTTTTAGGTTTCACATCTAAGTCTTTGATCCATCTGGAGTTCGTTTTTGTATATGGTGTGAGGTACAGATATTGTTTCATTTTCCTGCAAAGGGATCTCCAGTTTTGCCAGCACCATTTATTAAGCAAACATTCTCTTCCCCATTTAATGGGTTTTGGCCCTTTGTCAAAGATCAGTTGCCCATAGGTCAATGGATCTATTTCTGGGTTCTCAATTCTATTCCATTTGTCTATGTGTCTGTCATTAAACCAACACCAGGCAGTTTTGACTATTGTGGCTGTATAGCAGGTTTTGCGATCCGGCAGTGTGACACCTCCTACTTTGTTCTTCTTCTTCAATAGTGTTTGCTTATCCGAGGTCTCTTTCCTTCCCATATAAAGTTAGTGATTGGTTTTTCCATATCCTTAAAAAATGTTGATGGGATCGGGATTGGGATTGCATTGAATGTATAGATTGCTTTGGGTAGAATTGACATTTTCACAGTGTTCAATCTTCCTATCCATGAGCATGGTATGTTCTTCCATTTACATAGATCTGTTATGGTTTTTGAAGTAGTTTTTTTATAGTTTTCTTTGTTCAGGTCTTTTGTGTCCCTGATAAGATTTATTCCCAAGTATTTTACTTTTTTGGTAGCTATTGTAAACGGTATTGATTTCCTTATTTCTTTTTCAGCAATCTCTTTGCTGATGTAGAGGAATCCAACTGATTTTTGGATGTTGATCTTGTATCCTGCCATGATGCTAAATCTCTCAATTAGTTCCAGTAGATTTTTTTCTTTATATACTATTAATATTAAACCCTCATCAGATGTATATGGTTTTCAATCAGATCCCTTTTAAGATTCGTTTTTCTCTCACATCACACACTTTTATAATTACTTCCATTTCCTTTTCATATTTCTAGCTCCTGAGATGTGTAAATGGGGAACCGTGAGAAAAAGAAAACGCAGTTCAAAATTCTACCAACGCCAGATAACTGATGCCTATTCCAGCTGCTAATCCTAACGGAAAATTGCTTACTGGCCGGAATCCCAGAGGATTCTGGGACCTGTAGTACTGATAGGCCTTGTGGTTGCGGCACTTCCGTTCTGGTATAGCGCGCCTATTTTCTTTGCTCTTCTAAGGAAATGGGGAAATACAATCCAGAGCATGTTTGGAGGCGTTTTAGCTATCGAATGCCAAGAACACGGAGCCTATTTCACTCGTGGATCCTGGGAAATTTTTATGAGGCTCAGGCGTTGATTCCGTGGCTTCCGCTCAAGATGGGAGGGGCAGGGTGCCGTGTACCTCTGGGGATTCTGGGAAATGTAGTTCAGAAGCTCTTGGTAGTTGGAGGCCCTTTCACCGTTGAAGCTGGAAATCTTGGCCTACGTGCCTTTCAAAGAGGGTGAGTGAATCCGCTGAAACTTTTACGGCTTCTTTGTCAGATTAGCGGGGCCCGGCTTTGTTTACTCCGTCGAGAGCCGCAGACGGCGGAGGGTCCGGTTAAGGGGTAGGGGCGGCTACTTCTTTTGGGACAGTGTGCCGGTACCCGGTTGTGCCGGGTTTGGGGTCTCCCGGGCTTCCGCTGCCCGACCCGCCTCCCCTCCCGCCCCGCGTCTACCACAGGCTCTGTCACTTCCTAGCGATGTTATGTTGGACGACAGCTTAATCTCTGTGCCACGGTGGTTTTTTTTTTTTCTGTAAAAAGGAATATTAGGAGTACCTAGCTAACATTTTTTTTTTTTTTTTTTGAGAAGTAATGAAATAATACAAGTAAAATGTTTAGAACAATGCTGGCGGGTGACACAGCGTTGATAGCTAATACTGTTATGTTCCCAAGGAATGGATCCCGACTCCGCGACTCCGTAGGACAGAGTAGAACTGTCCCATAGAGTTTGCTCACAGCGACCCTATCGGGCAGGGTCGAACCGCCCTCTGGATGTACTCAAACCACCAACCTTTTGCTTATTTAGTAGCGACTGCTTAACCGTTTGTGCCACCCGGGGACTCCTGCTTGGTGCCTAGTTAGGGTTAAACCCTGCCATCGTGGTTGTTATTACTACTTTGATTACTAATTTAAATGAGATACTGATTATCTAATTTACACTAAAGTGAATCTTGCAGTCATAAGTTTTTATTAATTTTTCTTTATCTCTGATAAGCCTTTCAGTCCCTACTGTTAACAAAGTAATGAGGTTTTGTATATTTAAAAAAAAAAAAAAAAAACAGTCTTACCATGTGCCATACTAAATATTGCAAAAGCACAAAATTAAGACTGACAGTCCAGAGAGAACAGATATTTCAGGGGTTAAAGGTGATTTTCATATGACAGAGCCATGTGTCTATAGGCTCCATAGATAGAAAACAGTTGTGAGGACAAGTTTTATGTCACTGAATATCATCTGCTTTGCTGAAGCTTCCAAGAAATAAGGTAGCCTTGTGTTCTCTGCCTACTCACTTAATCCTTCCAACCATCCTTTAAGATAGGCATTGATAATCTTCCCATTTTACAGCTGAAAGAATCGAGGCACAGAGTTATTAATAATTTGTCCAAGATTTTGCAGCTAATGAGTAGCTAATAATAATAATAATAGCTAATGGGAGCTCTGGTAGCGTAGTGCCTAAGGCACTTGACTGCTAACCAGAAGGCTGGCGGTTCAAATCCACTAGCCACTCCTTGGAAGGAAGATGGGGCAATCTACTTCCATAGTGATACTGCTTCGGAAACCCAAGGAGGGGTCACTGTGAGTCAGGTCCAACTCAATGGCACACAACAACAATAATAATAATGAATAATGAATACCCAGGCATTTGGCCCCAGAAATTGTTCTCTTAACGTAGGACTTTGACTCTTAGTTTTGAGTCTTTGAATCCTAGTTTCCATGCTCCCTAGAATCAGAATCATGCCTTGAGGGCTACAGGGAGAGTGTGTAACAGGGCCCTGGTGTGTGGTTGGGCAGGTGGTTCACCGTGTAGGGGCTCTCAGCTGGTGGGGTCACTGGCATCTAGAATCCAGCCCCCACCCATCAAGCTAAAAGCAGGTGCAGCCACACAGAGGAAGGAGTTCCATGGGTCAGAGTCTACCGGACTCTCATGACTTTTTTCCTCTTTCCCAAGGCTCTGCCCTTCCCTGGAAGGAGGAGGACAAAATGACCAAGTTCAAGGTGAGTTGGACTTGCCTTTGTAGGTTTTAAGTTGTCATCTCATTTCCCAAAGATTAGACACATCTTATATCTCTTTCAGGGTCAGGGTTAAGGAGAACAGTTAACATCTGAGGACCTGTTGTGTGGCATAATAAATCGTAATTTTAAAGTTGCATATTCTTTGACAATGTGGCTTTCACTTGGAATTTGTCATAAGGAAATAATCAGACAGCTGAGCTAATGTCTGTGTAAGAAGATGCTTTTTGGAATTTATTATGAGAAAAAAACAACAAACACAATATACATTATTTGGCATGTTTAACTATATTATAATAGAGTTGCCTGTGGTCCCTTGGAATCTAGGACTACTTTCTGCCCATCCTCTCCACTTTTCTCGGTGCTACCCTTCATCCACTGGGCCCTTGTTATAAGATTTAGATGTGCTTGGTAATTGCAGGAAGCAGTGACTTTTAAGGACGTGGCTGTGGTCTTTACCGAGGAGGAGCTGGGGCTGCTGGACTCCGCCCAGAGGGAGCTGTACCAGGAGGTGATGCTGGAGAACTTCCGGAACCTGGTCTCTGTGGGTGAGGACAGGGCCCTCTAACTGGGCATCAGCCCCCTGCAGGGTCTGTGTGTCCCGGCGTGTTCCGGGATTTGGAGCTCGTGAAATAGTTTCCCAATTTCTAATCCATGTGAGACAGAGAGCGACTAGTTTTCTAGTCCCTTTCCCTGGCTGTCCTGGTTCCCCAGTGCCACTCTGACAGGAATATACCACAGATGGGACGGCCTTAACAAACAGGAGTTTATTCTTATAATTTGGAGGCTCTAAGTCCAAGTTCAAAGTGCCAGGCTCTAGGGGCTGGGTGAAAGCCCCTCAACCTTGGGGTCCAGCTCTGTCTCCTGCTCCCGGCCCACTGGAGCTAGAGGCGTTTCTTCACTCAGACAGTTGCTGGCTGCTGAGGCTGAGAAGCCCCAAGGTTGACAAGGAAAAAGTCACAGTCCCGATGTTACCAAACCACATGGCAGGCCATTAATTCAAGTCCATTGTAAGTCCCAAGGTCAGCAGAGCATGGCAGTCTGCTGAACAACGACACAGCTACATGCAGGGTCCAAGTGTGCCATAAGCTAGACACCATTCCCAAGGCTTCTGCTTATATACAGGAAGCAGACCACATCCCAAAGGCAGCTACTCAGCTGCTTGTGGTAGATCCCACCATGGAGTTGATTGCCAGTCTCCTCATGGGGAATAACTACCACCAGCTGCCCAGCCACTCAACCAGGCCCAGCCAAGTTGACACACAAACATAACCATCACACTGGCTATTGTTGTTAGCTGCCATCAAGTCAGCCCCCGACTCATGTCAACACAGTGCACAATGGAACAAAACACTGCCCAGTACATGATCAGTTACAGATCAGGCCGTTGGGAACCCTAGGGCTTTCCTTGGCTGCTTTTCAAAAGTACATCACTAGGCCTTTCTACCTAGTCTGTCTGCCTTAGTCTAGACACACCAGTGAACCCTGTTCAGCAGCCTTGCACCACGCATGTCCCCATGACAGCCACGTGGTGGTGGCAGTGTGTGAGATGCGCTGGGTGGGAATCAAACCAGTGCCTCCTTCATGGTCGGTGAGAATTCTGCTGTTGTTGTTGTGTTGTTGTTATGTGTCGTTGAGTTGGCCACGACTCATAGCAACCCCTCCTTGGGTTTCTGAAGCAGTATCACTACAGAAGTAGGTTGCCCAACCTTCCTTGCGAGGAGTGCTGGTGGGTTTGAACCGCCAGCCTTCTGGTTAGCAGTCAAGTACCTTAGGCACTATGCTACCAGAGCTCTTGAGAATTCTAATACTGAACCACAAATGCCTCATTCCTCCCCCAGCTGAAGCTTATGTTTTATAGGTGAAGCAGTCGTGCTATCCATTGTTTGTCTTTTCTCAAGGTGTAGTTGTCCTCAGTTAGTGGGTCCTAAAACACTTTTCATGAATTGTCCCAGTGTATTGTAAAGAAATAAAATAGAATAGAAAACATCAGGGCTCTTGGCAACAGTTGCACAGCATGAAGAGACGGAGAGAGGCTGTAATGACAACAGATCATTTTTTCAGGCATTTATACTTTGGTCACATATCTTGGGTCTTTGAGTAAAACATATTTTCTCCAGTGGGACATGATTAAAAGTTTGGGAAACATTAATTTTTGTGTCCTGTAGATGATGCCGAGGAGCTCTGGTGGCGCAGTGCCTAAGGCACTTGACTGCTAACTAGAAGGCTGGCGGTTCAAACCCACCAGCCACTCCTCGGAAGGAAGATGGGGCAATCTACTTCCTTAGTGATACTGCCTCGGAAACCCAAGGAGGGGTCGCTGTGAGTCAGATCTGACTTGACAGCAGTGAGTTTGTTTGGTTTGGTTTATTTGGTAGATGATGCCGTGGGAGCCATAGTTAGTAATTTTTTTGTCTCTAGTGTATTAATTTTAAGCATTTGTGTCTACCTTTTCACAGGGCATCAGTCCTTCACTCCAGAAGTAATCCCCTCCTCATTAGAGAGAGAAGAAAAGCTTTGGATGATGAAGCCAGCAACCCAAAGAGAGAGCCCTTCAGGTGAGAGCCTTGTGGCTGTGACGCCGTCCTGCTTCGCAGCACCTCCACGGCTGTGGCACGGGTGTAAGCCCCCATGTAGGCCGTGGTTTGCTGGAGCCTTCATGCTGCTCTCATCCTTCCACCTTGCTCTCTTGCGATCACTTCTCCACTCAGGGTGATTCTTTTTGAAGTCTTAGATCACGTCATTCCTCTACTCAAAACTTCCAGTGTCCTCTTATTTGACTCAGAGTAAAATCTAGGTTACAGGGAGTCCCCAACTTACAATGGGCTTCTGTTCCAGTGACTCTGTCGTAAGTTGGTTCTGACATAAGCCAAATATCTCATTTTTAAAAAATTTCATTATTATTGCCAGAGCCTGCCATACAGCAGTGCTTAGAACAGTAAGTCATAGCATTGAACCTCTGCAAGTGAACATCTGAGCATGAGAACATCAGGAAATTACATGCTGGAGCACTGTACGTAGTACCTATTATTAAGGGTTAGACACATAAAAAAACACACAGAAACCAGGCAAGTGTAAGTATGGTCCGTGGTAACTCAAAATATGTCATAAGTCGGGAACTGCCTGTACTTAAACGGGTTATAATGTCCCCTTGGCCCGCCCTTCCCTCTTCCCCATCCTCTTAAACATGGCTTACCACTTTCCGCCTTGTCAGTCTGTTCCGTCCAAACTTGCCTCTCGGCTCTGCCGAGGATGCTTCTGCCTCGTCACCATCTACTTGTTCTCCCCTCTCTCTGGAATGTTCTTTCTGCCGACCTCTTCTCGGCCCCTCCCGTCCTTCATGTAGGTCTCTTCTAAGGTGTCCCATCAGAAGAAAGCCTTCTGTGGCCGCTGTATTTACCTTACCTTCCTTTCCTTCAGTCTCCTCCTCCTCAGTCTGTGTTTGTGTTGACGCGCTGCTCACCACTCACCACCTTAACATGTATTTTTGTTGACGTGTCTATCTCTCTGCATTCCCACTGGAATATACTCTTAGCAGAAGAGAAATTCTGTCTGTTTGGTTCATTTCTATCTTCAGTGTTTTTTTGGTTTTTTGAATGTATAGAATAGACTTGGCAGAGGATATGTAAATATTTGTTGAATGAATGAATGAACGAGTTAGTGGTTTTCCATTAGTCACGGAGACATCTAAAGGGTGGTAAACAAGTGTATAGGAAAAAAGAATGGTCCAGACAGGTTTTCCTGATGAATGTCTTTATGGAAGCAGGCTGCCACATCTTTCTTCTGTTGAGTGGCTGCTGGGTTCAAACCACCGACCTTGCAGTTTGCTGAGTGCTGAACCACGGTGCCACCAGGGCTCCTTTAATTCATTAGGAGCTTTTGGATAGATAGAGCCATGTGTCCATTAGCTCAGACCTGATCGAGTTTGGGTTTTGCTGTTATAACAGATTTGAGTATCATTTTCCCCTCGTGGCTTCCCTGCAGCTGTCAGTAGTGAGCCATACTTGTTTGGGGAAGAACTGCATTTTATTTATTTATTGTTTTTCCTCGTGAATTGGTTTTCCCTTTAACAGTCCATACACGTTCTGTTTTGTGACATTTATTGCAATCCCCACACTGTGACAGCATTCTTCCCGTTTCCTCCCTGCACCCACCCCTTGCCTTGGAAGAACTACATTTTAGAATGTAGATTCTAACAGCCATCTTTAGGCAGGTCCCATATAAAAGAAACTATCTGCACTTTACATCAGCAAAGAGATTCTTAGATAATAACTAGCTTTCAAGTTGGTCTTTCCCTTCAAAGATTTTTCTCATGGCAGCCATCCACCTCTTTGGAAGAGTTACAGAAAAGAATGTTACTACTCTTTTGTCATCCCTGTTTGAAACACGGCGTGGCTAGTTATGCCTTTGTTTTCTAGAAAACTAGTTATTTTTGTTGCGATGATGGTAGAACAAGATTTTTATGTATTTTGTTGTGCCAGTTGAGTCTGGTGTCCCCCAGTCATATGGTCCTGAATTGGCAGATGTAGTTTAACTATAAAACTAGTTATTTAACTACAAGACTAGTTAGTAAACAAGGAAATGGTAAAGGGAATCTATTTTAAACACTCATTCTGGGCACAGTCATCCTCCACAACTTGGCATATCCTCATACACATATGTTTAAAAGTGATAATTTGTAAAAATATACAGAAAATATAAACTATGTAAGTGTGACCTCAAGAGGAACACATTTATCATTTTTCCTAATTTTTCATCATTATGATATAACTTTCCATTTGAACAATTTATTTTTTTCATGAACAAATGGACACCTCCAGGAGCTCTGGTGGCGTAGTGCCTAAGGCTTTTGGCTGCTAATCAGAAGGCTGGTGGTTCAAACTCACCAGCTACTCCTTGGAAGGAAGATGGGACAATCTACTTCCATAGTGATATCACCTCAGAAACCCAAGCGGGGGGGGGTTGCTGTGAGTCAAAGCCGACTCAACAACACTGAGGTTTTCTGTTTTTTTTTTAACTATTTAGGCCACTGGATTTCACACTTTTCTGTTCTTGAGTCATAGTAAGAAGAAACACATTTTATAGCATAAACAATATAAACATTCATGTTGTGTGTATATATTTATATGTGACTTTGATGAACATTTGATGTAATTTATGTAAAGGTAAGAGATGCCTTTATTGCTTATGAAGCCAGCTTAATATATTTTTTTATTCTATTAATGCTTGTAAAAAGCTTGTTGGTTTATTTCATTTCTACTAATTAGTTCCAGCATTCAGTTTGAAAAACATTAGTGTGGTCCACAGGACAATTTATCTAAATAACTAAACCCACTGACATCAAGTCCATTCTGACTCTTGTTGTTGTTATGTGCTGTCAAGTCGGACCCGACTCACAGCGACCCCTCCTTGGGTTTCTGAGGCAGTATCACTACAGAAGTAGATTGCCCAGCCTTCCTTCTGAGGAGTGGCTGGTGGGTTTGAACCGCCAGCCTTCTGGTTAGCAGTCAAGTGCCTTAGGCACTACGCTACCAGAGCTTTCATTCTGACTCATAGGAACCCTGTAAAACAGAGTGGAACTGCCCCATGGGGTTTCCAAGGCTGTCAGTCTTTACAGAGCAGACTGCCTCATCTTTCTCTTTTGGAATAGCTCCTTACAATTTACCTACATCCATCCATTTTACATAATCTGCTTTGAGAGTCAGTATTATTCCTAAGGCTCTAAATACTAACTCCTACTTGAAAAAGAAGAACTTTTAAACCATAAGGAGAGAGTACACAGATTTCAGAAGCCATCAATCCATAGGCCCCATGGCCACTTGTGGTTTTGTTTCATCCAGCAGTGGTTCTTGCCAGCTGTTAACTTTCTCACCAGTGACATTGACTTAGCTTAGCCCTGCATCTGGTGAAGCCTTTCACCTTCCCAGCAAAGTTGCTGTTCCCAGGGAGTTGCCTATTTTGGATAACTTACTTGAAGGACTCTTACTTTTCTGACTTGGTCCAGACTCTCACCAAGAAGTTGTGTTAATTTCCTAGGGCTGCCACACCAAAGGACTTCTGTTGGCTTAAAACAATAGAAATGTATTTCCTCACAGTTCTGGAGGCTGGAAGTCTGAAATCAGGTGTTTGCAAGACGGGTTCCCCCTGTGGGTTCTGAGAGAAAGTCTGTCCCATGCCTCCCTCATAGCATCTCATGGTTCCCATGGTCCTCAGCATTTCTTGGCTCATACGCGCATCACTCTGATCTTTGCCTTCATCGTCACCATGTGTGTCTCTGTTTCTGTGTCTTTTCTCCTTTTCTAAAGATACCAATCATAATGGATTAGGACTCACCCTACTCCTCGTGACCTGTTAATTAATTAATGGTATCTCTAGAGATACCATTTCCAAATAAGGTCAGATGCACAGATACTGAGCTTTAGGGCTTGTGTAGTGGTAGGGCCTGAAGTTCTCTAACTTCAGGGAGAGGAAAGAGATTCACCATCAGCCCAAAACTGACTCCTGTGAGGTGGTGGTCACACAGACCTCCACTCTCCAACCTTTTAACCAGTTCTGACCCCAGCTGCCCTCCCCACGGCACTCTCTACCTCTCTGCCGCATCTGGTCATTTGTTGCAGTTGCCACACAGAATTCACAGACCATACTTAATGATTAAATGGCTTAGTAAGGAAGTAACAGGTTACAACTCAGGATCAGCATCAACAGGATGCAGCTCGGAATCAGGATCAGGAAGCATGTGGGCAAAGGCTCCCCCAAAGTGGAGAGCACATCCCTCCTTTCTTCAGTGCAGAACAGCTCCTCTCGGCCCCCTCAGGATGGGCTTCCTCTAGGTCCCCTCAGGACAGGCCTCGTGGCCCTCTTAGGACAGGCTTCCTCTCGGGCCCCTTTAGGACAGGCCTCCTCTTGGCCCCTTCAGCATAGGCTTCCTCTTGGCCCCCTCAGGATAGGCTTCCTCTCTCCCTTCTCAGGACAGGCTCCTCTCAGTCCCCTCGGGACAGGCCTCTTGGCCCAGCACACCCTCTGTCAGCCGTACAAGCTTCTCTGCCTTTGGCCTCCCTGCTATTGGCCTTTCCACTGCTGACTGATCCAGCTCATAGCCAGTGTAGCAGTTTTGATCCACTTTTGTAGCTGCGTTCCTAGCAGCAGGTTTCTGCTGTCACCAACAGCTCTGCGGGAGGGTCCCTTCTGGTTCTGTCATCACCATCTCTACCTCAGGTCCCCTTCCAGGCCTGTCGCCACCTACTTTGTTGCAGGGCCCCTTCCAGGTCTATTTCTGCCAATTCTGCCTCAAAGCTCCTTCTGTGCCTCTTGCTGCTGACTCTGCCACAGGACCCCTGCCTGGCCTCTCACTGGTTTCAGCGTTTCAGACTTGACCTGTGGCACAACTCTTTAAGGTGGTTTCTCACCTCTCTTTCTCTCTGCTTCTCTCTTCTTGCCTCTTTTGTCTTTTCTCCTTTCTTCTTTCTGAAACTCATGTGGGGCTCTCTGCATATATACATAAAGTCCTTGTCAATTCTAAGGCATGGCCCTCCCAATAGGCCACAAACTAACCCCTTGG